TCTGCTAGTTCACTCCCTAATGCTGCACGACAGACTGACCAGCCCGAAGTTAAGAGCCCAGAGCCTTTTCAGGGTCTTCCACATGGATGCAGGGGCCCAAGCACTCAGGCCATCTTCCACTGCTTTCCCACGTGCATTAGCATGGAGCAACTGGGTCTTTCTTTCGATCTTTCTTAATTTTTCTCTTTTTTTTGACAGGCAGAGTGGACAGTGAGAGAGAGACAGAGAGAAAGGTCTTCCTTTGCCATTGGTTCACCCTCCAATGGCCACTGCAGCTGGTGTGCTGCGGCCAGCGTACCACGCTGATCCAAAACCAGGAGCCAGGTGCTTCTCCTGGTCTCCCATGGGGTGCAGGGCCCAAGCACTTGGGCCATCCTCCACTGCACTCCCTGGCCACAGCAGAGAGCTGGCCTGGAAGAGGGGCAACCGGGACAGAATCTGGCGCCCCGACCGGGACTAGAACCCGGTGTGCCAGCCCCGCTAGGTGGAGGATTAGCTGAGTGAGCCACGGCGCCAGCCCGCAACTGGGTCTTAAACCAGCACCCATATGGGATGAAGGCGTTGTGGGTGGAGGATGAACCAGCTATTCCACAACTGGCTCTCATAAATATTTTTTAATATTATAAAAGGTACACAAATTTCATGTATTTTATATATACAGATTCAGGAACACAGTGATATTTTCCACCCTACTCTCCCTCCTGCCCATGCTCCCAGGCTTCTTCCTTCTCCGTCCCCTATTCCTGTACTTATTATTATTATTTTTTTTTACAAAAATCTATTTTCAGTTAACTTTATAGCAAGTCCACAAAAGATAAATCTTTTTATTTCTAGTTTTTTAAAACAAGGTTTGGGTAGGTATTGTTGCACAGCAGGTTAAACTGCCACTTGGGATACTGCATCCCATACTGGAGTTCCTGGTTTGATTCCCACTTCTGCTTTTGATCCAGTTTTCTGCTAATGCTCCTGGGAGGCAGCAGATAATGACTCACATACTGAATTCCTGCTACCCATGTAGGAAACCTAGATGGAGCTTCCTGGCTCCTGGCTTCAGCTTGATGAGCCCCACTGGTTGTGGGAATTTAGGTAGTACAACAGCAGATAGAAGATTCTCTCTTTCTCTCTCTGTTTCTCCTTCTGTCTCCGTCATTCTTTTAAATAAATGAATACAACTTTTTAAAACTCAGGGCTAAAAATCAGTCATAATCAACATGAGGATTTGTGTTACTGAACTCTAAATGTTAGGAAATGTCAATTCAGTAAGAGAAGGAACTATGCCTAGTTCATATATGGATTCTTGATCTCTATAATACAGCCTATCACATGACTGCTGGATCTAAGAGATTTTCAAGAGCACTGTTAGGCTACAAATTAAACAAATGGATGCTACTGGGGACAATATTTATGGGTAATCTTCAGAATATATACAATCAAAAAAGTAGATGTGTGAAACAAGTTTTTCAAAAAGCAGTAACTAGGGGCTGGCGCTGTGGCGCAGTAGGTTAAACCCCCAGCCTGCAACGCCAGCATCTCATATGGGTGCCGGTTTGAGTCCTGGCTGCTCAACTTCCAATCCAGCTCTCTGCTGTGGCCTGGGAAAGCAGTAGAGGATGGCCCAAATCTTGGGCCCCTGCACCCATGTGGGAGACCTGGAAGAAGCTTCTGGCTCCTGGCTTCAGATCAGCTCAGCTCAGCTCAGGCCGTTGCGGTCATTTGGGGAGTGAACTGGCTCTATCTTCTCTGTATCTCTTTTAAATAAAATAATTCTTTAAAAAACAAAACAAAAAAGCAATAACTAGTCAATGTATTTCATAATGGAAAGGAATTTATAAAAGATATAAAAATGCTCTAAAATTTCCTTTTTCTAAAGAATTATTTTATTATTTACTCCCTCAAAGGCTCACAACAGCTAAGACCAGGCCAGACTGAAGCCAGGAACCAGGAACTCCATGCCTCCCACATGGGTGGCAAGCACTCAAGTGTCTGGGCTATCATCATCACCTGCCTTCTCAGGCACAATAGCAGGAAGCTGGATGGGAAACAGAGGAGCTGGGACTCAAACTGACTGGATGTGGAATGTATGAGTCCTTACATTAGTGGCTTATCCTGCTCTTCTACAATGCCCACTCCTAAAATTTTCTTCACATCACCTCCATCTTTTAAATGTGTCTACTTTTGAATATAAAAGTAATTTTGAAATGTAATTATAAATCACCCCTGAATGTATCACATTTTTAAAAAAGTCTTGCTTATTTTAAAGGCAAAGTGATAAAGAAAGAGATAGAAGGAGAGAGATCTTCCATCTGCTGGTTTACCCTCCAAATGCCCATAATAGCTAGGGATGGGTTAGGTCCAAACCAGGAGCCAGGGACCTGGCAGGAACCCAAGCACTTAGGCCATTATGTCTTACTTCCTGGGCACACAAGCAGGAAGCTGAATTAGAAGTAGAGGTGGGACTGGATTCCACAAACTCCAATATGGGATGCCAGCATTCCAAGAAGTGCTTTAACACACTACACCACAAGGCCCACCCTAATTTTTTTCATTCAGAAAAATAATACTTGGGGAAAGCATTTCACTTAGTAGTTAAAATGCCCACATTCCAAATTGGAGGCCTTGGGTTCAAGTCACATCTGTGCTTCCAATTCCAGATTCCTACTAATGCAAACACTGGGAAGCAGCAGGAGATAGCACAAAAGGTTGGGTCCGTGTCACCTATAGAGGAGACCTGGATTGAGTTCTGAGCTCCCAGTTTCAGCTCTGGCCATTGCAGGCATTTGGGGAGTGAACCACTGCATGGGAGCTCTGTCTCGTTTCCTTTTTTCATTTAAAAGAT